TTTTCAAAAATTAGTTTTAAGTTAACTATACTATAATGTAAAATGTATTCATGTATTCATGTAAAAAATGAATTCATTAATTGTCATGTCAACTGTTATAGTATATAGGTAGTATTTTTAATTTTTCAAAAATTAGTTTTAAGTTAATTGTACTATACGGACGTATGGTAGACAAATATATAAAGGTTCTAAGGTTCTACATTTTTAAAAAAATTAATTTCTTAATAATTTATCTAGAATATATTCCCCATTATGAATTATGTTTTAATATTTGTTTCTACATTTTTAACACTGATTAAATTAAAATGTTTGTTAAATTTCCTGTAATATATTAAATTATTATATGGTTATGTATTGCATTAATTAATACATTGTAAACCTTAAATGTCCTATTTAGCATATTAATATGTTGAATAGTACTTTTGTAGTTTTTGAGTTAACTAAAAAATAAGCATTTGAAGAACAAGAGAAATAGTAAATTTAAAATTCAAGAGCAAATTTATGTAGGAATTCTAAGTAGATAAAATATTTAAATAAATTGCTTTCATTTGATAATTCTGAAATTATATTCACTTGATCAATTCCTATTCATAATAAATCAGAAAGATTGGTTTTTAGAGGATATAAAATATACCCAACAAAAATGCTTTGTCAAATTTCGCGTAGGAAATGGTTATGAAAAAAAAAAAAAGTAATTTATAAGATAATTAACATCATGAAGATTTGATACTATGAATAAATTTTAAGTAAATTGAATCAATGTACTTTTTTTTTTTTAATCATTTATTAAGCTGGCGAGGAATTATATTAATTGTTATAATTAGGGAACAGATTTATATGTAATAAAGATACAGAAATATGTACATATGTATGTAAGTATAATTTATAAAATATGTGCTCAAAACATCCAAATATGTAAGAAAAAAATTAAATTGAAAAAAAAAAAATTATAATTATTAAACTATCAAAATGATTTGTTGCATTGAATTATTACAATATCTTTTAAATTATTAAATATTATATGTTGCCTATTAAATCTGAATATATTTTTAAAACGGCTAAATGATCGTTCCATATCAACCTACATCGGTTGATTAAAGCATATTTGAAGTGCATAATATCAGAAGACGATAATTCTAAATTATTAGAATGGTATCTACCACTGATTATTTCATTGATTAATTTAAAATCAATATCGCCTGGAATTTTTTTTTGTAACAGCATAAATTTTCTTTTTTACAAAATCTCCTGTTGGTCCGTTTAAGAGTTTTCATTTTTCAATCGTTGATTCGACAATTTGCATACTATCATTTAAGGACATATTTTTTTTCTTATTTTGTAAATGTATGTGCAATAAAACTAAAATTCACTGAAATGAAAATTAAATTAGTTTTCAATGTTTCATTTTGCATAATATTTTAAGCTTTTCTTATAGCGATAGAAGTTACTAGATCTAAATTAGAAATAATTTCTTGTATTTTCATACGAAGAAGACGTGAAATGATAAAATATGTTTAAAAATATTTACAAATTAGTGAAATATGTAAAAATATGTAAGAATATGTAAAATAAAAGTAGCATCATATTAATAGGAATGATTTAAATCATGAACATTTCTTATCGAATCTTAAATATCTCGTTTTAATAAAAATATGCATTTACATATAAATCCATTCTCTAGTTATTACCACAATAGCACATTGCGAACAAAGATTATTATTGTGTTTATTTTCACCATTTATAAATGTAAAGGCCCATGGTACCAGTTTTTTAGTTTTACTACTTCTTGTCCCCCCAGGATTGACTCCAAGTTACGCGACTCGGGTTAAGTATAGATTTTAGTTCGTCGAGGAATTTGGTGATGATGTGTAGAGATTGATTGGGTGGTGGTTTGTTAACTGTGATTTCAGCATATGACGGTTTTTTATTTGAGTTTGAACTGAAGGCTTAATTTCCGGTTCTTCGAGATGAAAGTGGTATGGAAAATGTTGGAATAGGATGATTTTCTTTAGTTATTTTTTTAGCTTTAGGTTTGGTGCGGCTTAATATTTTTTTAAAGGATTTTTAATGGATTTTGGCATCCTTTGTAATTTGCAGTGTGATTACCACTGCAGTTTGCACATTTTGCGGGTTCTTCCCGTTTTTTTGTGCATTTGTCTGTGTAGTGTTCTGATCCGTATTTCACATAGCGTGGATTGTGGTGACAGTAATTACGTGTGTGTCTGTATTTTTGACAATGATGACATTGAGGAGGATCGGCTCGTCTCTTTCGATATTCGAATTTTACTATTGAGTTCGATATTTTTGTTATTTTGAATATTTCTCGATTATTTTTGTTACATGACAGGCATATCCTCTAAAAACTTAAATTATATGGGAAAACAATGGGATTTCATTGAAAAATAATAATATTCATCAATATATCAGCATAAATGTACAATATTAACTATTTTCTCGATGAAATTGGAAAGTAAATTAATTTTATCACTAATTTAATGAAGTAATATTATAGGACGTTAGGGACCTATCCAGTAACAGTCAAAATTACTAAAAATATACCTAATTCGAAAAAATCTGGTATTTTATGTATCTAATATGTTCTACTTCGATTTTTAAAGACCGTTGTGACCCATTACCGTTACACAAACCTGCTTCCATCTTTTTCTATTCTATGCTATTTCATCTCGTATTCCAATTTCTGCTAAATTAATTTTCACTTTGTCTATGCATCTTTATTTTAGCCTACCTAGTGGTCTTTTCCCATGGGGTTTTTATTTTAATACCGCTCTCCTTAGACTGTTTGACCTCCATCTGTGGCCAGCCCATGCGATCCTTCTATTTTTTAATAGATACTATTACTATATCTGGTTCTTAATATAACTGTTATAATTAGAGTAATGTATGTAATGTATATTCGAATAGCTCCACCGTAAATAATTCGAATATTCAAATATCAGTATTCGATGCATTGGCGCAACTAGGGGGGGCTAGAGGGGGCTTAGCCCCTGACTGAAATTTAGCCCCCCAGAAAATATTCTATGTTGATTAAACTATAGTCAACATTTTTTTTCCAAATTAAAAATAATAAAATTATAGTTAACGTGTTATTTGTGATAAAATCATGATAAAACATATGTGGATACAATGTAACAATACAATATTTACGACAAATTTATTTTAAGATTCAGACTATGGGTAATGCGTACCTACCTATGTTCCGTGAAATTATTGTTATCGGCTAATGACTATTGCATAATGCATTTATTGATTATTCTATGGTATTTTTATCATAACCGACCGCCGTTGCTACTAATCGTTGCTGATATGTTAAAAGATAGTTTTACTTATTTTTGCGTTATGTACTTCTGTTTTGTCGTACATTTAGTGATTTAAATTTAAATTTATTGATTGTATAAAATGGATAAAAAAAAAGTTTTTGATGTATTCAATTTAAAAAAAAAAATTAATCATATCCATGAACAAGAGCAAGATAATACATCGACTGTCGAATTGCCTGTATTGGTAAAGAAAGTACAGACTGATGGTATAATTCAAAGTCCGAAAGATTTGGGTGACATTCATACCGGACCATACCAACTAATTTTACAAGTCAGTAATAATTAATTTTTAAACAATTAAAAAAATGTGTTGGTAACCTACTTACCTATTCGTTATTTTAATGGATAGTAAATAATATATAGGTTTTCAAATTTATCTGTCATACATATTGAGAGAAATATATCAAATAATATTAATAGTGAAGACATTTTAAACACATTTGCTCTAGCTAATGATAGAAAAATATCATTACTATACTAAAATTTTGTTTTAACAAAATTGTATAAGTACATTAGAATTTGTAAAAACAGTATTCGATAAATAGTATAATATATAATATTATAATAAATATTATATTAAATAGTGTATTTTGTGTATTTAACTAATTAAATTGGGTTATTAGCTAGTTTTGTGGATATGAAATTATTAGAAAAAATTAAAGACATTATATAAATAATTTAAGAATTCCGTTTCTTTAAACTAAACCATTTAGAACTATATATTTCATTAGCTCCAGCTCCGGAATGACCATTAGTCCACTCTCCTCACCTCTCTCTTCATAATGAAGCTAGTAAGCATTTCATTTTTTTCTTAACAGATATCACGTCTTATCCCATTTCGTATAATTGTTAAAAGAAGGTTATTTTACTTTATCTATTAGAAATGATTAATTTTATTACAATTTATTCACTTTATTATTATACGAATTACATTACGAACATTTGCATTGCACTTGGGTGAAAATATTTATTTATATTCTGAAATTGTATGAAGTTGTTATTTATGAATATTTAAATAAGGAAAAAATAATGGAAAAAAGGGTTAAATATCTTTATAAACGACTTAACTTTATTTCTTAGCCGTTTTTTATCAGGAGTTTGACGAAGTGTTTTTTCTGCGATATCTATATAATATATACGTATAATATAATTTGGTTTCTGGCTCATATTAGTATTACGGTTGCAGACCGATGCAACACCAATCCATGACGACCATAAGTAAATGTTGGTATAATAATTCTTTATG